CTCTCCCCCTCCCTCTCTCTCTCTTCCCCCCGCCCCACCCCTCTCCCCAGGACCTTACTTCCCCCACCAGGGATTGAACCTGGGCCCCGGCAGTGAAACTGCTGAGTCCTAACCACTGGACTGCCATGGAATTCCCTACAATTCATGTTTTCTTGAACTGAAAGTTGGAGTTCCCACAGTTAGTCCCAAATGTTTTGTAATTTATATAAAAGCCTCTGGAAGCCTTTGTAGCTCTCCAGGATTGGATGTCTTAAGCAGGGAAACCAAAATTAATTTCTGTGCAAGTTCCTCAGGTGAACCTAACACTCGGTCACTTATTCAGCCTGTTCTGGGTTAATTCTGGGTTAGGGGACTCCAAAATGAGAAGGGTCCAGAACAGCCACTTCCCTCTGGTCCTCATGGTCAAGGTGGGCAGACAGTACCCTCTGGAGTGATGCTGACTATGGCCGGGACCAGGGTTTCCAGGACTGAGAACAATCAGGAGGGCTGCCTGGAGGAGCTGGCTCCTGAAAGTTGGTTAGGCTTCTGAGAGGCTGAAAGCAGAGCCAAGGGCATTCCAGGGATGGGAGAACAGCACAGCATAGGCATACAGCTGGAAATGGGCTGGGCAAGTGCTTGACTATAAGGATTCAGGCCCAGAAGACAGGGAGGACACCCTGGGCCACTCTGCCAGGTGGTGGTCGCTTAGGAGCCAAGTCTCTGGAGAATCAGGAGGGAGGCCCAGACCTAACCTCACAGCCCCCCGCAAAGCTTTAGCCCTTGTAAAGGGGCTCTCTGGTGTCTGGGAGGGATAGACAATGTCATCTGGGCACTCTTTCAACAAATATGTGTTGTCATATAAATATGACAATATACTGGTGCAGGCATTGGGGATACAGTATAAAGACACACAGATGCCTGCCCTCTAGGCAGTGGGTGTTAAATGATTATGGGTAATTAATTACAGTTGGGTTTGGGGTTACAGTGGCAGCCCTCGGGGGCTAAGAGAGATCTAACAAGGTAGTGACCAAATTGGGGGTATCAGGAGCCCTCCACTCTGGGCTCACCAATTTCCAGGGTGCCTCCCTATTTATTTCTATCTCTCCTCTCCACCTCCCCACCTTTTGCAATG